AGAGAGAGAGAGAGGATGACATTGGTTCTAGGAGTTCATCCTCCTCTCTCAACAAAACCAAACCAAAATTTATCAAATTCATAAATAATAAAATGACTTAGTGAAATCTATGAATTAACAAACATAAACCATGGGTGAAAGCTAGAGAGGGTCAAAGCATCAAACAACAATCTAATTCAATGGCTTTATCTCATCAAATTCATAAATAAACATAAACCAATGGTCCCTCACAAAATAGGCACTAAATAACTGCTTTGACAGTCAACTTTATCCTTATAACATCTAATTTTTATATTATTACAATACATCAACATATAATAAAATGCAAAACCAAGAGATGTTGAAAGAACATCTTCGGGCTAAGACAGGTATGGTGATGACAAAGAAACCCATCAAATCCAATGAACCTGCTTCAAAATTCACTTTACTCAAGGTATGAAACAACGATCAGGATTGTGGCATACACCAGTAAATAGGCACCCCATATCGAGCCCATCCAATGATATGAAGAAATTCCTTTCTATCAACAATGGGAGAAAGGTGCTCAATGAGATCTTCTAGAGCCCAATCAATAGGGTGTTTGCTTCTGACATACTGATATTGCAAAAACCCATGGAGGCCCACATATGATGGGATAACCTTGACTTTTCTAACCAAATGATACCGCTCACAACACATGAGCCAAACTACCCTTACATCTCCCATCATTTTTTAATATATCCTCATAAGCAATGAACTGGATATCTACCAAACTCAGGTTGTATGAGCACTGAGGAAAAAAAAAAAAGAAATTTCATATGTTCTCACAATTACAAGAGCTCTGATGTATGAAAACATAAATACACGTGGAAAAACAAATTGAAGTAGAAATTCAAATATGCTCTTTCTTTTGGTAAATGAATTCTAGAAGGAGTTCATCCTCCTCTCTCAACAAAACAAAGCAAACCAAACCAAAATTTATCAAATTCACAAGTAATAAAATGATTTAGTGAAAATTTATGAAATTAACAAACATAAACCATGGGTGAAAGATAGAGAAGATTAGAGCATCAAACAACAATTTGATTGAATGGATTTACCCCATCAAATTCATAAATAAACATAAACCAATGGTCCCTCTACAACAGTCAAACAATTTTGAGTTCAAAAAGCACAAACTCTATAGAAATCGAACAATTTTGAGTTCGAAGACTACAACAATTCATAGTGCAACAACATATTCCATGAAACAACATCTCAGTTCCATAGCAAAACATAAATATACAACACTTACATCAGAAAATAACATAAATATACAACACTAATAAAAGTGGAAAGGAGTGTCCTGAGTTAAGGTGTGGGTGCAAGGTTAGGATGTGCATAAGTAATCAAGAAAACGGCTAGTGGAAAGTGACTAGCGTTGTTATAGATCATAATCATGATCTAGTTAGTCAAAGAAAAGCTCATCTAATTCGCACACACCGATCATAGTCAACTGCTACAAAGTCATTGATACATTCGATGAGCTCGACAATGGTTAAACCTAGACATATTCATAGAGCAGGTTGGAGGGATCGACAATATCCTTTATACACAAAAGGACATTTAAAATGAAATAGCGAACACTAGAAGAAAACTTAGAAGAAAAGATGGCAATTTAATTTTGCAATGGCTCTACAAAGAAAAGCAACCGAACCCATCATTTTTCTATAGATTGAGATCAGATGATGATGATCATATTCACAATATTTTATGGGTAGATTCTACTTGTAGAGTTTCGTACCAGTGCTTTTCTGATGTGGTTACCTTTGATACCACATATAAGACAAATGCGTTTGGAATGCCCTTTGCACCTATACTTAGTGTAAATCACCATTTCAATTCAACTTTCTTTGGATTTGCCCTCATATTTGACAAGAATATAGAATCATTTATATGGGTATTTGAAAACAGGTTGGAAGCCATGGGTGGACGACAACCAGGCGTTATTCTCACTAATCAAGATCCTGCAATTTCATATATAGTGAGGCAAGTTCTTTACCAAAGTAAGCATCATTATTGTAAGTGACATATATTTGAGAAGATCAAAGAAAAAATGTGTCATGTCTTACGTATGCATCCTTCTTATTCAGATACCTTTCGGAGGTGTGTGGCTAGCCCAACTATTGAAGAATTTGAATTGGCTTGGAAATCAATTATTGATAATTATAACCTGGACGACAATGAATGGCTTAGTAGGCTTTATGGTTGGCGCATGCAATGGGGTGATGCATACTTGGCTGGCACGTTTACTGCTGCTATGACTTCTACCCAAAAGAGTGAAGGGATGAATTGTCACTTCAAGTTGTACTTGACACCCACAACAAACTTGCGTTCATTATTAGAAGTTGTTGCAAAAGTCAAAGATAAGAAGGTGCGAAAAGGGAGGGAAAATGACTTGAAAGATATTTAAACTACTCCGAAGATATTTAAACTACTCCAGTCTTGCGAACAACCACTTTTATTGAGGCACATGCATAAAAAATCTATACTCAAAATATTTTAAAGATATTTGGGGAAGAAGTGGCTAATTGCTTTAATTTTACGAGGGAGACAGTGGACAATTTGCAACCTTTAAGGCGGCAGTCCTGAGGACCAGAACTAAATCCTACTTAGTGAAATTCAATTGCTATGACAATTCCGTTTCTTACTCTTGTTACTTCTTTGAGAGGATGTATTTTCTTTGTAGGCATGTACTGAAGATTTTTATAGTGAAAGATGTGTTTGAAATCCCTCCACAATATATAATGAAGTGTTGGACCAAGGATGTAAAGAAGGGAGTTTTTCTTGATGACATTGGGGAACAAATTAAAGTAACATCTGAACTATCACGTTCCATTAAGTATAATGAGGTTATGCAGGCAAGTCGATCCTTTGCCTAGTGTGCTTTACAAAGTGTAGAGGGTTATGAGTTTGTAACGACCATAAGAAAGAATGGAATTCGTCAATTTGATGAAAAGTTCGTTTTTAAGAGAGATCCACAGGATAACGCCATGATCCATGTCGATGAAGATGCCAATTCTGCTAGTTGTAGTAACACAACAAGTAGGAGTAACCATTGTCGTAATGTCCTTGAACCTGCACGAGCACGGACAAAGGGACAACCGGCCACTAAAAGAATGAAACCTTGATCTGAGGGATGGAAGCCAAAAAAAAAGAAATGCACAGTCTGCAATGGTAGTGGGCATGACAAAAGGAACTGCCTGTCGTTCGTTTGTGATAGGTACAACTGTTTACCTTTACATTATTTTGATATGCAATTGTATTATATTCATTACTATTGATGTATTTGATTTACAATTGTATTAGCTTCAATTTAAATGCTAACATATGAATTTATCTTCCTCTTATAGTGCTAAGGAAAAAATACATCGCACGCTAAGGAATAAGGAGGCAGCATAAGTGACTTGATGGTAAGAGTCACTTGGATCACCCTAAGTTTTTGCTCCTTGAAACAAAAATGTACTAGTTAAATTCTAGTGAATTGAATTACTGGCAAGTGAGCATTAGTTTCCAGTCCATCAAAAGATTTGTAGAGATAGTTTTCTAATACTAGCATTCTGACTTTATTTTATTTTTATGCATTTTTCCCTTATACATTATTCTTTGTATTTCATGTGTTATCTTCACCCAAATTCACTAGTATTTTTGGTTGCGCTTTTGCTCAACATATCTAGAAAGTTTAAAATATGTTCTCATTTCAATTCTATTAGGCAGAGTGGGTGACGGATTGGAATGGCTAAAGTGACAAATGCATATGACCTTCCTGCAAGGTAGCTATTTGAATCTTGACATTTTATTTTAAAAGGTTGAGTTACTTCCCTTATATTGTTGTACTTAATTATTGTTTCTCATGTAACTCATTGCTTTGAAATAAAGATTCTGAATATTTTGGGGCATTGTTTTGTGGATGTATTAGAAAATGAATTGCTTATATGCTCTATGATATGGCAGGATGTTTATTCACACAATTGGTCCAGCCATTGCTGTCTTTCTTGTCACGAGCTTCTTATTGAGAATGGACTCATGTTAGGTTTTTTAGTGGTTGGAGTGATGTATAGTATTCTTCTCTTATGTTGGGCTAACTTGAGAGCTTGGTCGCAGTATTGCTTTGGTCGCAGTTTGTAATATTAGCATTTTGACTTTATTTTATCAATACCCCACCTATCATCTTATTTTATTGGAGTATTTTTATTTTTGCCATATACAACTTGATTTGTGAGATGTGAAAACTTCATAGAATTTACACTTAGAATTTTACTTCCCTGTTGATTTGATGGAGTCTGCAGGCTCCAAATCAGGATGATATCCCTATTTTTGCTCGTTTATGAAGAATTTTCCTTTTTGATTAGTTTACAAATGGGTGGTCACAAATGAACTGGCAAATCTAAGTTTGAATACTGGCTTGGAATTGCCCTTCTTCATGTGATATTACTTGAGTATTTTCTCCCCTGCTAAGAATTTTGGTTTTGATGCATGATTGAAAAAACAACAAATGTGTTGATTTAATAAGAGTTTAGCATATTTGATTAACATTTTCAATGTTGGTAATTGTTAGCACACTCTTGTGAAATTCCATTATAGAAATCAATCATATGGATATTGCGACGTAGTAAAAAGATGCGGTTCTTTTTTTTTTTGGCGATTGTAGTTTGCATGATATTTTATATTTGAGAAGTGTTATGTTAAATTTGTTCGTCGTAAAAGGGCTATGGTTTTATTTTAGTGATGCTTGCGAAAGATGGCTATAACTTGTACGATGATGGCCAAAGGAAAAGTTGCACCAAACCACTGATCCTTTTGTGTTGAGGGCTAGTTGTGGACGAAAACTCAATTCGAAAAGAAGCCAAAAGTAGCCTCCTAATTGTCGCATTGGCCAACAATGATTCTCTCTACTAAATGATTTTAAAAGCTCAAAAGCTTCATCTACTCTACCCAATTTGTAAAACCCACGATCTTAAATGGCATATTTGGTTTTCCTAGCTTTGCAAAGCCCACCGATCAAAATGTCGAAAGTAGACTTTGCAAAGCCCACCGATCACAATTTTTTTGAAAGACTTTTGTTGAAAAAAAGGTTCAATTTGATAAGCATATCAACTCACATGAGTGAAACTTATCCAAGAAAATAAATTGGTTGAATGAATGAAAGAAACAACAAAAAAAAGCAATGAATCATGAGAAAAGGGGTGCAATGACTTTTCCTTATGGCAAAAGAAGCCAAATGAACCCAAATACTTGAAATTAACCATGACTGCAACTCCAGTAAACTCCAATTAACTCAGTTGAAGATAAACAAGCTCTAAACAATACAAAAAGTGCATACAATTATAAGTAAAGTGTTCACCGTTCAAACCACAAAACCACCAAAAATTAATGTAGAAATATATGAAATTAAAATTGTTATTCCATAGAAGAAGAGAACAATATGTGCATAGAATTATAAGTATATAGATACCATAAAAGATATACCCATTTCTTTCACAAAAAAAAGAAGGGCAAACATTATAGTCATAAATACAATTACACATATAAGACAAAGTTTTTGAACGTCTACTTTCTCAGCGACCACAACATCAGATTTGCGCTCGTCTTTCTCAGACAGAGATGCATCTACTCCATCAGCTGCATAAGCATCTGGCCTCTGAGACACGAACCTTTTAACCACAGGCTTCCTATCTTCACCTAGAATTTCGTCACACCACTCTAGATAGCCGCATCCAGTCTCATTCTAGTGGTTAATATGATAAGATAAGTATGTGTTAAATATATTATTACAATAGAAAACCAATACGCTTCTACATTATCTTAATGAAAGAATATTACCTACCTTCCAGTTAGAGCATATATAGAAATGCCTATTGTAGTTATCATGTGTCTTTGCGGTAAACACACGCATCCGACCACATCCTGGTTTGTGTTTACAAATCCTTGGAGGGAATTGGTTGTCGAGATCTATTCAGTTAAAATGTTCAGATGAGCTCAAATGCCCTATTCTCACTATATCACATCCATGGATTGCATCAGCCATTGAAGTGAACATATGCAAATCATTTTATCAGATAGCAAAGGAAAAACCAAATACCGAAAAGTAAAGCATGACAAGGAATACAATAGAGGAAAAAATGTCACAATTTTATCATAGTCGATCTACAAGCTCATTTTAACTCATTTTTGTCATGCACAACCTTGCCTTGCCTTGCCAGCCCTAACCTGAACAACACGACTCCTCTCCCTCACCACTTTGTTGACACGCAAGTCCACCTTCAGAGTTAAGCCTACCATGTCAGTGACCAAATTATTAATTAAAGGATTTAGAACCCTCTAAAAGCAGAGCCAAGAAAGGCTTGACATTAGGCTTGACATTAGAGGTATACATTTGTCGCATTAGTAAGTGATGCACATGTTGGTGTGCCAATCTTAATTCAACTTTCTTGTTTTTCTTTTCTTATACAGGAAACAAGCAACTCAATGAAGAACACAACATCTCGGGCACCTAATAATATGTTATAGGAACAACAGATGATAAGCAACATAACCTTCAAAAAAAAAAAGAGTATGTGAAGCTTATCAAGGACACTAATGGCATGAAGGTTCTAACCAACTTTGGTATTGAAGAATCCAATCAAATGCCTGCTCCTGCATGATAAATAAAATGAAAGCAACAGACAATTTATTTTTAGATTTCATGAAACAAAGAAGTTGAGTAGGACTAAAATGAGTGGCACTTGATTATATAGAACAACTGCAGTTGATTATATAAGGGATACTCAATGCCAAAAATTGCAACATAATTTATTTCAATTTTATTGAAATAAGGGTTTTATATAATAAGACTAAAAAAATATATTAAAAAAATCAACATGACTCACCTTCAAGAACCTAAGCAAATTATTGAACAAAACGTAAGTTGGAACTACAAAGAATTTCCTATGACTCAAAAGAGTCCTACAAACAATCTTATTCCTAGGTAACAGCAAATCAAACATCACAAAAAGAAAAAAAAAGGTAACAACAAATCAAACATTACAGAGTGGTTGTTTGAATGAAATCAAATGAAACAAAAAGAAAAAAATCATAACCTAAACAAATTACTCTAAGAACACAAGTAACAATAGATCAAACATTACATAATTCTAAATTGTAGAAAATATTAGAGTTCATATGATAGCAAAAACCTGCACTATCATATTAGAAATCGAAATAGTTATCAAAATAAGTACATAGATAAACTAACTGCGTATGGGAAGCAATCGATATAAAAAAATGAAAAGCCCCAAAAATCACTTTTTTTATTTTATCAATTAATGAAAACCCTCAAAATTTAGGATCGATTATAATCGGAAACCCCAAAAAATCAGTTTTTTATTATCAAAGAAAGAAAACCCCAAAAATTTAGGGTTGATTATAATCGAAAACCCCCCAAAATCAAGTTTTTTATTATAAAAGAACGGAAACCCCCAAATTTTAGGGTTGATTATAATCGAAAACGCATAAAAATCAGGTTTTTTTTTTATCAAAACCCAAAGCCCCAAAATTTAGGCTTGATTTCAAGATGAATTCATGTAAAGTTTTAAAGAAGGAAGTTTACCGAGTGCTTGGCGTTTTGTTTGAGCCTCCAACCAGGGTCGCTCAAATTGCATGTTATAAAGGGCTTCTTCTAACTTGGCAATCTGTTCCAACAAGTGGTTGAAATGCTCTACGCATAATTCACATTGACTAAATAACATAACA